TCTTCAAACGAACATAACCTCGCGCAGAATGAAGTAATTTAAAAAATTATAATAATGATAATAATATCTGACTTTATTTTCTGAGGGAACATATTTAGTACATGAGTTCTAATTTTCAACATGTCCCTACTACTCTATAAAACTAGCAACTACACAGTAATAATATTTACAAAGTGTATATATATCATATTATATAAGCTTATAATAAAGTAATATGAAACAAACAAACACTAAAGAAAGAAAAACAGGGCAAATAAACATATCTTCAGAGGACAACAGTAATTAACAAGGTTTCAAAGATTTAACGTGTTTTACTAACTCCTTTCTGAAGATAAAACTTGAAGACGCGTGTTTCACAGTTTGAGGTAGTGAATTCCAGAATACAGAGGCGGTATATTGGAATGTTCTTGTCATTGCCTTTTTCTTACTTTTTGGAATTGCTAATTTAAGTTGACTTTCTGATCTCAATGTCATGGTAGTTTCGGTCAATTTAGAATTTTCACAGAATGTGTTATATAAATATGATGGTAATTTGTCTCTTAGAATTTTGAAGGTGAGCATTCCTTGGTTATGTTGAATGCGTTGGTTTGATTGTAAGCCAATTTAGAGACTCAAACAAAGGTGCCGAATGTGAATCAGGTTTTTCATCCAAAATGCTCCTTGCAACACGCTTTTGAAGTTTATACAGGACCTCTAGTTTACCTTTATTGGCATTACCCCAAACTGTGGAACAGTAATCTAAGTATGGTAAAATATAGCCGTTGAAAAATAAAATTCTAAGATGGTGTGGTAAATAAGGTTTTAATTGTCTGGAGGTAGATTTTGGAGGATATGATCTTGGAAATTTTGTTAATTTGGAGATTCCAATCTAAATATTGGTCAACAGTAAGTCCAAGTAACACTGCTTCAGATACATTTTCTAATGATTCTCCATTAATTTGTAGTGATAAGCAGTTTGTGTTTGTTTGGTGTTTTGAAACGATTAGCATGGCTTTGGTCTTTTTAGCATTCATTACCATACCATTATCATTACACCAATTAAATACATTTAGTAAATCCTCTTGAAGGGCAATCTCTATATTAGCTAGATTGTTGCTAGAGAAGTGAAGGGTACTGTCGTCAGCAAAAATATCAGTATGGCATTTACTGACATGAAGTGGGAGATCGTTTATAAAAATCAAGAAAAGTAATGGACCAATATTGGATCCCACATTCACATCAGTAACAGTTGAATGACATGCCCCTAAGACTACTCGTTGTTTTCGAAATTCCAGATAGGATGAAATTAGTTCCGTATGCCGTATGCATATTGGGATCTGTACAGTTTTTATACAGACAGAATCTTAACTAATCCTAATAATTGTTGTAAATAAATAGGAGTTAGGGCCTACTATCTAAATTGGGGGGGGGGGTCCAAGTATATTCAGATGACCCCCCCCCCCCCCCGCCCCCAATGTGTGACGCCCATGCCCCTGATAGTCGGTTTTCACATTCTCATATAACAACTCGTGGTCTTAAGAGGGATTATCAGCAGGACGAAAATCGACTGTGCACAGCTGTAACAATAACTAAATACATGTTATTATGGATCAACTATAGCAAAGATATCTATACTGAAAATATATTTGGAATTCATGTAATTATTTATATCGCATAAATATATATACACATATAAAATATTTGACTGCTGATGTTGCCCTTTAAGTTATTGATTGTATACGGCATAACAATGACCTATACATAAATTGCTAAAATGCATTTTTTCATTCTCAATACACTTAGACATAATTAAACACAATAACAAAGTCTTCTAATCAATTTTTAAACGTTGGGATCCAACGAATAAAGTATAACAGCAAGAAAAAAAATATCTGACAATTTTATTGAGTAATAAAAATAATGCAGGTTTTTGTCTATTTTTTATTGACAGGGTATCGTATTACCATCAGTGTCGTAAAACAATGTAAAATCAATCTATATAATACGAGGCCGTGAATGAGAATAATTTATCATAACAGTTCAAATATATATCATATGAAGAATCCATGGGAAGAACGATCTAAGTCACATTTTTTGTCTTTTCGCATAAAAGGCACTACCGACTTTTGGACGAGAATGCTTGACGCGAACAGAACTACGGGTGGGTTTAATTATAACTTCAACATGATGTTTAATACGAATCCTAATTCCCAGTACAGCAACTGACTTCAACTTTTCAGTCAAATTAAGGTCAAATAAAGCGTACGATAGACGTATTTGCCCGGGAGGCCATTTTAGAAGGGCCTTGGTTCGATGTGACTCCAATCGTTTTTACCTGAAATTGACTGTTCCACAGAAAGCTTATACAATTTACCAGATGGCGCCATTAAATAGGGTTCATTGAAAAAGTGACTTAGATCGTTCTTCCCCGGGGCTCTTAGAGAAGGCAAATTCTTAAACATAATACTACTACTGCAGTTTTGCTATATTTTACATGTATCTATTTTAGTGAGAAAATTTGTATTTGTTAGGAATTTAGCCTAAAATCTAATCTGAACTAAAGGTTTACAGATATATTAGTAGAAATACTGTTTTGGGAGAACATATAATATGCCCCCTCCCATGTAGCAATATTGTCGTTGCGACATTGTTTTAAATTTATAGACAAAGAATAGAGAAAAAAGATGGCATTATATTTCATTAATTAATATCTTTGGTGGCAAGTTATTAAATTCAGATATATGTAGAATTGTACTAAAGTCAACTTACTCTGTAATTGACAGTTGACACATAAAAAGAGTTATTTAGCCAAAACATGTGTCAATAAAATACCACCAGATTACACGTGAGCGGAATTATTCTAATTGCATCATTTGGCTTAACTTAACCAATCATATCAGAAATTACACAAGTTCAGGGCCATGAACACGCGTTGCTATGCGTGATATAAATAAACAAAAACAAGTACGAACAATCAAAACCATAAGACAGAATTCGAAGTCCTAAAAAACGTTATAGGCAAAATAGTGTATTCAAGCAAAATAGTGTAATCAACAAATGGACTGCTCTTCGTGTATAAAATACACGACAAACAGTGGTAACAGGTGTCCGGACGTGAGTGCTATATAAGATATCTATTTGAAACTTTTAAGTCAGACTTCCATTAGATTTCAGAGAGGTTCCATCTGAGTTCCCAGACAGCCGTTAGGCTGGCTAGGGTGGAGAAATGGTTTTAGCTAGTATTGTAATCTGTGCCATGCTTGTACACATGTATTCGGCTATGCTATATAAAATGTAGAAACGAACTGTTGCATTGTTATTCCTGGTAAGACAAACGTCTTAAGAAAACAGTAAGAAGCAAACACACAACGTGAAGCAGAAGTAAAGACAGGGACAAATTCTTGACGATCACAGGCTACAGAAATATGTAGTAAGAAGAGATGCATGGGTTGTATGTAGGATGTGGCGACCGGTTTTAGTACGTGTCCGCTCTCCACGTCTGACAGAAAGGCCCATGGTGCTACAACCCGTCCCAGCCACACACACCTCCCAGATTCGGAGAACCGTCCATTTTTTGGGCAATGTATGTCAGTTTTACGGGCACACACATCAAAGAATACGACCATATATCATGGAAATATAATTTTATAATTGTGTAATTAATTGAAAATAAACAACCATCACAGCTTTATGGAAAAATTGTTTTAGATAATGATGCATCCATTCAGAAAGTTCGGGTGACAAAGAAACAAAGTAATTGGCCTCCTACGCCTATGTAGACCCTTACCTTTTGTTTAATCAAATATTGTTTAAACTATTGTTTTCTCTCCCATCCGAACGACTGGGCGTTGTCCTTCCATTCCCTTCCCATCTCACTGACAGGGGGAAACCGCATCGGGGGTTGTCCTGTACATATCTAATCTGTGTAAGTGTAGTAAATGTGAAAATGAAACAAAAAGACTGTTAAAGAAACCGAATTTGATGTTTATACATGTAGAGACAGTGATGATGATAACGAATAACTTTGATGACATTTTAAGTGAAGAGTAACCGTATTTTGTGTTTCGAACCAAGCTAGTAATTTTGGCTGCAGGCCTATAATACTTCAGCGAATTCATTTTATTTAACAACCAAAATGCGGGTTTATAAACTTATATTGCATAAAGTCACTGTAACATCATACCCCTCGCAGTGTTTCGTTTGATTAGACCTAATCCCACACAAACACTACCATGCTCAGCGCAAAAGTCTGTCCCAAATTATGACTGGTTAACAGTCCGATCAACAACCACAACCAGTACATTACTACGAAACAAAATCAATCAGAATTAACCAGAGTTTTAAATATGGTACCGTAAATTGTCTGGTGACAAACGCGGCTACATTATGTCATAACGCGCAAAATGGGTGCCCACGAAATGTATTACGCTCAGTTGATATATATATATATATCAACGTCACTATAACTTATATCAGATACAGTCACTACAACTGATATTATATAAAGTCACTATAACTTATATGAGATAAAATCACTCTTACTTATACTAGAAATCGTCATTATACCTTATATTAGATAAAGTCACCATAACTTATATGAGATACAGTCACTATAAACTATAATACATTAAGTCATATTGCTCTTAGCGTCAATGTTTACGTCAATCACAATAATCTCAGTTTCAATAAAATGCTAGTTTCTTCCTTCCGCCCACTATGTGTCTCCCCCGTGAATGGAGCTAGGACTTAGTGGTTTAGAACGGAATGATGCAACTGGGGATACCGAGAATGGCTTTGATTATAGTTAAGCGTCTAATAGGAAATCGAACAATAATGATGGCGTTACAAACCACTGACACTATAGTTAGTGAATGATATGCCGATGTTTGGCATATTTCTTTTTCAAACACACAGAAACACCAAGAAAATGAAACAGCGGAATCACGTTTTATATTTTACCAGTAGCCATCAACAAATTGGTGACAATATTTCAAAAATATTTATTATTGTTTTTATTTATACCACTGAACGTCATTTGCATTTTTGTACAATATATAACTTTTCACGGATAAATCTATTTAATTAAAAAAAAGAACACAAAATATTAACAATGGAAGATCTTAGGTCTTGGATTCAGTTTACACAGCCCTTATATGTGGTGCTGGTTTGTTTGTATCGTCTGTAACAGACGATAAATAGTGAACGGAATTCAACCATTTAGGTCTGGGGATATTCCTTTTAGAGATTCAACTGACCATCAGTGACTTCACAATTTTCTCTTAGTTCATTTTATGTAGCACACCACAATACAAGTTATCTGTTATTATAGTCTGATCGATTTAAAACAGTCGCTACCACAGTTGGGCCCACTAAGTTACGTTTAGCTCTCTTGGTACAAATCATCTTAACAAACGCTCGTCTAAAGTCTTTATTTTTGACGGCGTAAACTACAAAATTCATTCCTGAATTAAGCACTAAAATAGGCACAGTAATATTAGTGACCATCTGCGGAACGTAAACTCCAAGATGGCCGGCTGCTACGGAAATAACTGCTGGAAGATAACAAATAAAAAAAACTCCAAATACTAAAACAAATAGCTTAACAAGCTTGAGATCCTTTGCCAATTGTGGTTTACTAGATTGTGACGCAGTTTGCTTTAAAATGTGTCGCTGTTGTCGCCGAGCAATTCTTAGAATGCTTCCATAACAACAGGCTGTTAAAATACACGAACCTACAAATAATGAAGTTTGTATGTATACTTGATATTCCATTTTCAACACTCGAAATATCGAACATTCAATACATGGTTCCCAGTTATTATAATATAAAGGCATAGTGCCAATTAACAAAGAAAATATCCACATGCATACAATAACCATCCACGTTCTTTGTGTCGTTGGTAATTGCTCGTAACGCAATGGGTAAGATATATAAAGGGCACGGTCAACTGCTATTGCCATCATACTGGCCACTGACATAGATACAGAAACAAAAAATGTCACGTGACGAAATAAACACAAATACTTAATATCATTGACGATATGTTTTGCCGATGGTATAAAGATCAGGATTTGTAACGGTAGCACAGCTCCAGCAAGTAAATCAGCCACAGCCAAAGACGTTACGTACATATTTGGTACAGTTTGTAACACAGGAGTTCTCAACACAGCAATGATGGTAAGGACATTTCCTGAACAGATAAAAATAATCAGCACAACGTTAATTGTGATGAAAACATAATTTTGCCACATCATTGGTTCTGTGGTATTTCCATGTGAGCAGTTGTAATTGCAATACATGGCTCTGTTACTTCCCTATTCTCTCTGATTCAACTTGTTTTTTTAAACAACAAAACTCTTGAATACAATTTAAACATCGGTCCCAAACTTCAAGCAATTTCCAGGTTACATTAAAATGTCATAAGAATTTCTGTGGTCTCCAAATGACGTTCTGTATTACTGCGAATATCCTCGAAATGATATATTATATTGACTATCGACCTTTAAGATTCTAATTATAAAGATCGGAAGGATGTGAAATGAAGTATACCCACTTAGATAACTAATATCCTCTGTTAAGATTCATCATCAATACACTACACAAATTCCCTGTTTAAAGCTATAAATGGTGACAATACTAATTCAACCGTTGTTTGTTGCGGCTAATTATCAAAGACAATCTATAAATATCTATAAACACCAGCTAAGATTCTCCATAATATCCAGCGTTTCAAATTGTATATCTATAAACATCATCGAATAAGGTTCTCCATAAAATCCGACGTTTAAAGTTAAATATTAGTAAACACCAGTTAATAAGGTTATCCATAAAATCCGACGTTTAAAGTTAAATATTAGTAAACACCAGTTAATAAGGTTTTCCAAGAATCAGACGTTAATAAGGTTCTCCATAAAATCCGACGTTTAAAGTTAAATATTAGTAAACAACAGTTAATGAGGTGTTCCATAAAATCCGACGTTAAAAGTTAAATTTTAGTAAACACCAGTTAATAAGGTTCTCCATAAAATCCTACGTAACAAATTAAATAAAATCCGATGGCAAATTAATGAAATTGAATACTATCAGATACCGGGTAAATACGTTTATACACATATATAGATATATTCAGGCTAATTTATATATTATCACAATACCACTCATAATCAACTTGCATAAGATTTCCCGGAGCTTCATATTTATAACTTTCTATTTTTAAGCTCAGTTAAAATCCATGTGTTGCTTAATATTCCTAGAATCCGTGTACCTTCAGATTAATAACATCCATTTCTTGTACTTCGTCGCTGCGAGATAATTCTTTCTTTTTTCAAATGCAGTTAAATACATTAGATATTGTAGTTCCTAACATGGATGGACATTGTAACGTTCAATAGTGTTGTTTCAAAATAAAAGCTTCCAATGTGCGGCGTTTCTGAAAAAAAAACCGAGAAGAAAAACAATAACCTATGCTGAGAATATACTTTTATCCGCACTATTTCGATTATCTATTTGTGAAACCAGTGATCATATTTATAACCATATGTAAAATGACATGTCTATAATATAACTTGTCAACTTGTCAGCTGTCTGATTGGTGTGATGTTGGTTGTTGAGATTCTATGCAATAGCTCTGTAGTGTTTTAATTGCACGAACAGTTAACTAATATTTTCCAATATCAATCAGTGTCAATTAAACATCTTTTACATTTGTTTTTTTTATAAACAATATTTTTATTCAGTAAATCTAAATTTGTATTGAGAAACAGACTATGCCTATGTGTAACTCTTCTGCACACGCCAGTTTCTTATATTTCTCATTATTGACCCGCTCACCTTCTCAATTAATAAATATTATTGACCCACTCACCGGTCACTGTCCCCCAGATTACTACGCCTTAATGGTACTCTTCGAGAATTGTCCATGTGAACAACTTTGGAAGCTTCTAACCACTTTAAAAATTACAAAGTATGCTTTATGACTAATTGACTAATTACTCAAAGTATCAATATGGTCACGGAAGAAGTAACCATCATTTCAATTAATCAGCGTGGTCTCATCCTTCTTTTAATGAAATGTATTTCCCAATTATGCTATATTTAAACATTATCCTCTTACCGAAGGCCGTGAACATTCAATATTAATCGGTCAAACTTTTAACATCTTATATTGAGCTACAATTAACAAGATCCGTTATATTTCCGTGTTTTAAACCCAAAAATGGCCATAATCTGTTGCTTAAGTTCCCAATGAACATGATCGGATTTAGAACTTTAGATATCCTAAGTACCGACAAGATTATAGTACCCCCAATATTATCATGTAATTCAAAGATTAAAACGGTATTGAAGCGTATAATAAACGTGTATCTTTGGAAATAGAAGCAAACTTACGTGTTTGTTGAAATTAAAATAGCTCTTTTTCTGCTTCCAAATTCCTGGATAATTTCAGTCAACCTAGATTAATGGCACTGGAATAACTAATCTGTGGTGCTTGATTTATTTCGCTTTATGGTTAATCCAGGGCTGGTATACTAAGTAAAATCTTTATGGTAACATATGTTTATAAATCCACGGGCTGAAAAGTTAATACATAAGATTTATTGGAAAATTAATCATCTTTGAAATGCATGTTTAATGATTTTGACTTTTTTCGTTGATTCGTGCTGCCATGCACAAACTGTTCATTATTCAAATCCGCAAGCAAGCGGAATAACAACAGTGAGATAAATGTAATTAAACACAATTCCTTTTGTCTTAATCGTAGCGTCAAGGATGCTTTATTCCGGTAACAAGACAATGTACTAATCAACGTTAAGTTCATGTACTTATTAATATCATGATGTACATTTAGACTGTTGCTGATCACCAGTTCGCTTGCGAATGCCCTCTAAAACTAATCATTGGTCTCGTCTTACACAGATTTTGGGACAATGTCAGGACATCTATGACTGTTATTTTGAAGATAAAGCTGATGTTTCATTGGTTAGCATTCTGTGCATTGTCCTGTTATCACTTTATATATAATATAAGGAAAAGATAATCATCCTATATAATGACTGCTGTATTGTATTGCGTGTTTTATTGTATGGATTTAGCATTAAGTTACAACGGGGTGTGTCTACTTTTAAACGTGTCGTATAAAGAAACTCGAAGTTCGGTTTTATAGTCTATATACCAAAGTTAATAAATAGAGATTTTTTTTTAAGTTTTAGTCATGGATGAAATGGTTTATTTTATTTTCTAAAGAAGTTTATTTTTAAGGACCTAGAGAATGAATTGGGGTGGGTTTGAAACTGATACATATCTAAAGTAATAGTGAATATAATGTTGTGTTTGTATTACTATCTTATTTTTGAACATCTATTGGGATGACGAGGGGTTTCCTCTTTCCCAATCCTAGTATTCAATAAAACTAAGTAATGACTGTGTTTCTGACCCACAGTGAAGTGAATGCAAGAGAAATTGAATGTACTTATATTTATGTATGATATTGTAAATAGTGTATATAATGTTGTATTTATATTACCGTTGTAGATGTATATTTTGAGGGAGGGGAATTATATAGGCTTTTCAAATCCCAATATTCAATAAAAAACAATGTTTATAAAACATAAGACGCCAATAAAATTAATGTTCAATGTGTGATAAATGACACCAACATAACTCACCTATTTTCATCGTTGACAGATTTTCATACAATATGTTACACAAATCAATACCAGTGACTGATTTGTTTATCCTTAAACTAAAATAGACTGGTAATCGACCAAGAACAAATTTTAAAAAGAATATTATATAGATTAATAAATTTTTGTTTTATGAAAATTATTAAAGTCTCGCTGCACCGTTTAGTGCAGTAGGAAACTATAATATGTGAAAAATGAATCTCTTCTAGGAATATCGGTCTCAAAAATGACGCATCGTTACTTTAAGCTACATATATATAATATCTATTAAACTCGGCTATAATTCGGTTACAACATGTTAATAATAATAAAAAAATAAATAACTCGACATTAATTAAACTAAGGTTAAAGATACATTATGCGAGATTTATTTCATTCAGATTACTTTATTATGAGCCAAGTTATCACTGTTTGTAGTTTCGATAAGATGTGTGCATTGATTGTTTATTATCGTAACCACGGTACTGGTATATTCGAGACTTGGCCTCGCTTCTCCATTTTAAATCAAAACATTAAATGGCCGAACCGTTCTAATCTACTTAGCCATCCAATGGACTAGAGAGTTGATTATGGTCTTGCCATATTAATAATTTATATAACATTAATGGCCTAATTAAAGACCTGCAATAGGCAAATTTAGCCCTGGGATAATGTATCTTTATCACCTTCAATTAATAGTATCCAATTCTTTTCTCTCAAGGGTAATACTTTTTGAACATTAATTGAACGTTAAGAGCGTGCTAAAATTCATACAACGGTCATGAATTTAGAAGTTCGACCAATCAGACTGATTAATTATTCAAGGAACCACATGACTTTATAGCTCGAGTGGCTGTATTGCCAGAACACGACCAAACAAATGAAATACGTAACATATACTACATACCACATATTGATATACCATATAATATTACAGAAGTTAGTTATTGCTAAAAAAAAAAAACCCCGAATTTTCGTACAACGACGGCCATAATCCAGGAAGTTATGGTCTGAAATGCGCGAATATCGACAGGAACTGAGATATTTGGGATGTAAACATATATTTTATGTTTCGTACAAATCCGACAAAAATTGAGCCTTATACATTCGAACTCAACCATCATCAGGGTGTATCTATGAATTTTTTTTTAATGTTATTCACAATCGGATAAAAACTAAGACAACTACAGGGCCCGCAAGCTAAAATGAAATGGAGTTTAATGTACTACTTTTCTGCACCGACTGGGCTCTGTGTACACGGGACCCCAGGTTCTTGTCCTACACCCCTAACAAGGGGAAACTTCCTCCCGGCCAAAACCAGGGGCGGCCCGAAACCTCCTGGTTAGCGACAAGGGTTTTATTTACTGAGCTACCGCGGCAACTGATTGACTATACTGATTATCCGAAGAACCATTGACTGCTATTTTGAAGGAAGTGGTGTAGTCAGACTTCATTGATTATGTTATATAGATAAAGTTAATGATAAGATTTATTTACATTATAATCTATTGTTAATAAAGATGAATAGGAGAGAGAGAGAGAGAGAGAGAGAGAGAGAGAGAGAGAGAGAGGTGGGGTTTAACGTCCACTCGACACAAACTAGGTCATTTCGGTACTAACATATGGTTAAATTTTATTTCAATAATTCGCTTGCGCGTAGGGGTCTTTAGCAGGTGGAGGAAACCGGAGGACCCGGAGAAAACTCAAGAGGTTGGACAGGCGACCCTACAACCGGAGATTCAAGATGGATAGGTCATAAATAATTGGTTTGTGTCAATTATATGAAACCGCTCCATTTACTCCGACACATACATACGATAGAAATTCAACGAAATGAAATGTGGTTTAGATTTTTACTTTCCTGTACTCCAATAAGTACACGTTTTTTTTTTGTCCCACCCGAACGACTATACGCCGTAAAATTACGATGAACTTTCGTGCCCAATACGGCATCTAAAGGTTAGCGAGCCAACGTCTTACTCACCGAGCCTTTGCGACTCTCTATACAAAATCAAGAACTGAGTAAGCTGCTAACTCAGAAGAAATGTTATCCAAACAGGAGACCAAGGACTTGATCGCCAATCAGTGGGCTGACATTAATTTAATCCACAGTTAAAATGACTTTACACAGGACGATATTATTGTTATATATAAACACAGAAAGAGAAATAGTGTTTAACGTCCACTGGGTCAGTTTTAGACTGACAAATGGTTCAATTATGTTTCAATAATTCGTTCTCGCATATGGGACTTTAGCTGTGAGATGAAACCGGACAGGCGATCCTACTCCTCACGTACAAATGTACGGATGAATCCAAGCCAAATGACTCAATGACCGACTTATGGTCCAAGTGTGCCGATAAATTTTGAAGGGCACACTAATGTAAGAAAATTTCTCACTAAAGAAGCTAGCTATTTGACTGATGAAATTCGAAACAATGCAATAAAGTAAGTTCACAGCTGTATTTTTCTTTTTTTTTTAGTTTGAATCATTCTATGTGTATATGGCTATACATATGGCTGTTAGGGAATTATAAATAAACCGATTAAGGGCTAGGAAAGATGAGTCGTTATACATCTTGGATTGATTATTATACGACGAGGAAAGTGTTGGTTATTAACAAAGAAGTCATTCAATGCATACCAGGAACAGTTCTGATAATACAGTTGAAAATTATTTTCCCTCTTGTGTGATGAAATATGTTGTTTATTCACACGAACAATTTACTAATTTACTCCGATTTCACTGATCCAGAAGACGATCACAGTTTTATTCTTACTAGAATTTGATATACAAAACAAACAAATACATCAACAAGCAGTTATTATATTTAATAATAAAGAAAATGAAGACGGACATACGCCATACCGTGCGCCATGATGGAAACTTTATTCGTACAGTTCCGAATTTCATTCAACCGTCGGGGGTGTTTTTGCGCCAATATACACGCGGGAACTTGATTTATCGTCCCATCCAGGGGACTAGATAATGTCATTGCCAGACTCCCCACCCTTCTCCACTGACAAGGGGGTTTCTTGGCAGATACAGGGAGCGGACTCGAGACCTCTTGGTTTGCGAATCAGTGTATTACTCATTGAACCACTGCGGCTCCAACAATAATAAAAAGATAATATCTTCAAATAAAACCAATACGAACCTTGAAACAGTGGTGTGAAGACGAATTGATCTATGGTTATTGTTTATTTGGTCATGGTATCATTTATAATAATAGGTTGTTAATGACGAAGATAAAATAGCGATGAAATGAAACCAATAAATCTTAGCACTCAACCTTGACACTAGAAATCTAGAAATGCACACCTGACCATAGAAATAAAAAACATTTTAATATTACAATGATTTGTGATTTTCTTACTTTATTTCAAATAGCATTAGACAATCGGTTTGTAAAATATTTCCTTGTTCTTTATTTTCCGGTCTTATGGTCTGATCAATTTACATGACTTTGTGTACGATATTGTTTGTTAAGGGAGGGATTTCGATATCATTTTCACGCGGCATGTTTATTTTGCAAGGGTGTAATGAGCACATAAAATGGTCACATAAAAATACTTTGTTTGATTATTTGCGTTATACAAACTGGATTTAAATTATTCGATATATGACTGATTACATGCCACAGGCTCAAAAACACTTGCCAATTTTCCGATTACAGCCATATCAAAGAAAATATTCCTGGGATTGCACAACAGATAAATGCATCTATATGAACACTTATGTTTATTCACACCACGGCTTAAGTAAAAAAAAAGATCGAAAAGACGTATTCAATACATTATGTAAATATACTATGATTAAAATATGGCAAAGAATTCAATCTGTCGAGGTCATTTCCGCTATATTTGTGTGCATGTCACTTCTTTCATATTAAATTTCTTGCAACCTTTCTTACAATCGAGAGGTCAAGCCGCCATATTCTTGTGGACTTAAACAATGGGGCTAAGACTGGTTTGTAAACTGTTTTTATTGGTTCGTAGAATCAAGCTACCATCAAGGGCAGATAATTTAATACGTG